TGTACTGCTGCTGCTGCTGCTGGCGGGCTGGGGGCCTTCACCTCGCTCTCGCATACAGTGCGTCAGGTGAGCCGCTGTGCGTTGGTTTGTCTCCTGGGTGTTGTGCGTTGGGGTCTTGTGGAGGAGACAGCTGCAGCGGGGGGTTTTTCCTTGAATCCTATAGAAGAAGAAGCTGCAGCAGCAGCAGCAGCAGCAAAGGCTGCAGCAGCTGCTGCAGCTGCTGCAGCTCATCCGCAGACGGCTGAGCCAACTGTTGCTGCTGCTGCACACGATGCCCGCCAAGATGCAGACGCAGCAGGAGCAACAACAGCAACAATCGTAGCAGCAGCAGCAAACGACCCGCCGCCGCAACAGAGCTCAAGCCGCCCACCCGGCAGCAGCAGCAGCAGCAGCAGCAGCACGTACACCCCACCGCCCCCTGAAAGAAGCAGCGCCCCCAGCCAGACCGTAGCAGCTTTAAGGGGCCTGGGCGAGGCCCTCCCATCGCTGCCTGTGGGGCTGCTGGAGCCCGGGTTCTCTGCTGCTGCTCTTCGTCTCGTCCACCCCTTGGTGCTGCTGCTTGCGGAGACGCTTGATGTGCAGCTGCAGCAGCAGCAACAGCTGCAGCAGCAGCAGCAGCAGCAGCAGCAGCAGGAAACACCGTGCTGCTTTTGCTTCAACAAGAAAGAAAACGAAGCAGCGGGCCAGGAATGCACCGCCCTGGCTGCATCTGCTGCCATTGTTGCGAGACGCAGCCAAGAAGCAGCATCAGCAGCAGCAGCTCCAGCAGCAGCAGCAGCAGCTGCTGCTGCTGGTGTTGCTGCTGCTGCTGCTGCGGCTGGTGGGCCTTCATCGCTGCAGCCAGGTAGAGGGGTCTTCTCCAGCATCACCGCAGCCCCAAAGCAGCCATTGCAGTGTACAGATACAGCTGAGCAAGGTGCAGATACACCGCAGGATGCATGCGCTGCTGTTGAGGGTTTCGAGGGTTTCGCGGGCCAGGTGCTGAGGAGGGGCCCCCAGGCGTTGCTGCTGATGGCCCCCGCGCTGTCTATGCTTGCTGCAGTTGTGGGCAGCAGGGAGCGGCAGCCCCAAATTGCTGAGGCGCTGCTGGCCCCGGTGGAGAGACGAGCAGCAGCAGGGGGCCCCTCTTCTCTTGCTTGGCTTCTTTGTAGGGCTCTGCATGCGCTGCTGTCTCTCCGCTCTGACGCTGCTGCCTCTCAAGCCTCCCCTCACTTGGGGGGGGCCCAGGGGGGCCCCCTGCCCGTTGCGCGCTGCGGCTGCGGTGCAGCAGCAACAGCAACAGCACCAGCAACAGCAACAGCAGCAGCAGCAGCAGCAGCAGCAGCGCCAGCAGGAGCATGCAGCGGCTGGACGGTAGCTGCTGCAGCACGAGAGGGGGAGAAGGGGCCCTGCTGCAGCTGCGAGAGACAGAGCCAGGCGCTGCTTAGTGGGTTGTTTGCTGCGCTGCAGGCTACGAGCCGTCAGTACCCACAGGTGCTGCTGCTGCTGCTGCTGCTAGAGGGGGGTGATGGGGGGCCCCCAGCAGCATCTTCTGCTGCTGCTGCTGCTGCTGCTGCTGCTGCTTGTCTCCCCAAGGAAACCGAAGGCCCCCTCTTGCTGCTGCTGCGCATGCTGATGGCTGCGCCCTGTCTCCACCTCCGCTGCAGGGGGGTGCAGCTGGCTCTTGACCTTCTATCATCTGCCTCTCAGCAGCAGCAACGGGACGCGCGAGGGGGGCCCCCACCAGACCCTCAGCCCAGCGGCAGCCCCCTCTCGGGGGCCCCTGGGGGCCCCCCATACTCCCCCCTCCATAGACAACGCGCTGCTCTCGTCGACCTGCTGCTGCTGCAGCTCATCAAGCCGCTGCTCAAGGAGAGGCCCCTAGCCACTGGTGAAGCGGCGGCAGGCCCGCAGCAGCATCATCAGCAACAGCAACAGCAACAGCAACAGCAACAGCAGCAGCAACAGCAGCAGCAGCAGCAGCAGCAGCCAGAGCTGCTGGTGAGCGCATGCGTTTTCCTGTGCCGGTTGAGACCAGAGGAGTGGCGGCGGTGCCACCTCCTCAGCCTGGGGGTGTTGGGGGCCCTGAGGGGCCTCGTGGCCCCCGAGAGGCCCCGCAGCGTCCGGGTTGCTGCAGCAACCGCATTGGGGGTCTTTGCAGCGCAGACGCAGGGGCTCCAGCAGCAGCAGCAGCAGCAGGAGCAGCAGCAGCAGCAGCAGCAGCAGGAGCTGGAGCAGCAACAGCTTGCAGATGCTGGGGTGGGGGGAGA